AGGACTTTGAAGTATGTGTCACAACCCTTGCACGCGAATCAAGAACACAGGCGCGAAAAACTCTCGAGGCACTCTGGATTAATTCCAGAAATCCGAAAATGAACCGCAGGGAAGAATGCCTCATTATCACGCGTGATGTAGGGCAGTATATAAGACTGCTATTCTGATGAGTGGGGTACATTATACTTCCATGTGATTTCTGTGCGGTTGGTCTCTACGTGACATACTTAGTGGAGACCTCATAGAAAGCGGTGAGTGTGCAAAGCTGTGTTCAATGTGATTGAAATCTTGGTTTAGAGTTTCTTTGTTTGGTTATGGAGGCGTCTGGCCAAGTAGATTGCTGTCAACTTGACCTTTCCAGGCTCTGAGGAAGGCGAAATCCGCCGAAACGTCAGCTCATTTGTGAATAAAGAATAATAACACCTCGCGTTTGCTCAACAAAAATACGAAGAATTACTATGAAAATCTATTTTTATCCCTTATTAAGTATGGTGGATAATTGTCTCTTTGAGTTGAGGTTCTACGACCACATGCGTTTTACACTGTTTTTGAGATGATGCATCCATATTCTCAATAGTTCCACCTCCTTGATTGTCGAGTGACTCGAGCGGGCGTCAGTAAATCTTCCATTCTTCTCTTTCGCGTGTAAGTGTAGCCCAGTGGGTTTTGCTCGCTCTAGGGACTCTTTGAGCATCATATCTTTCTTCAAGGCTCTTTGTGAGGAACTCTGACCATGGGGTCGGTGGTCTTCCTGCGGCGATAAGTTTGACATCTCGAGGAATCTAGTCACTAACGGCTCTTGTCCATCGGTTGTCATTCATACGCATTACGTGTCCGGCCCAACTTATCTTCCACTGTTTGGCGTACAGAGCGGCATCTTTGATTTTTGATCGTTGATGCAGGTCGGAGCTTCCGATCCCATCCCTTACTTGTGTGGAACGGGATACTCCTAGCATCGTCCTTTCGACTGAGTATTCGATGACGCTGAATAATCTTCCATCCTGATTACGCAGCGACCAGGTTTCCGAAGCATACGTTAGGGCAGGAAGTACCGTTGAATCCAAAAGATGGGCACGGAGTCGTGTGTTCTTTGTTCTCTTCACTGCATCTTCGACTTTCTTCAAAGCTCCCCAAGCTGCTTTTTTCCTCCTGGTCAATTCTGAATCTAAGTCGTCCATTATGTTGATTACCCGGCCTGGATAGACGTAACTGAAGCATTCGGAGATACCCATTGCGTTGTGTGTGAATGGGGCATACGTTACCAGGGCGTTCCTCATGAACGTCGTTTTTGTGAGATTTAGTCAAAGACCAATCTTTCCACAGACTTTACCAAAGTCGGCAAGCATTCGTTCCGCTTGTTTTAATACAGAATAGCCGTAGTTTCAGCGGTTTCGCCTTCTTCATGGCCTGCAAAGGTGAAGTTGATTTGCAACATACTCAGCCAAACACTTTCATATCAGCAGACAAAACTTAACACAAGTTTCCATTCGCGTGACAAACAGCTCCTTTTAAACACTCACTTTTTGTTCTTTGATAGAGACCATCCGCACGGCGTATTACATGGGCCAGGAATGTGCCTGGTTCAGGTCAAAGAATCAGCCTGAGGTATGGCGCGAGGTTACGTGTGATTACAAGGCACTTGTCATTGCCGCTCATTTTTGGATTTTTGGAATTTATCAAAACGCTTCAAGAGTTATACGCGCTGGTGTTTTTTTGGTATCCTGTGAGAGAATAGTGACTTTTACTTCAAAACATGAATTTATGTTTCTTTGTCCTACATGCATTTAGTGGAGTATTTGATTTCAATTTAAGTTTACCAGATATATGTTCTTTTATACGGATGCGGCGTGGTCTACCCGTTTAGCCAATGCATTCGTCGCCACACACTTTACAAGAAATAGAGTACACCGAGAGTACACAGTACCTGAGTTTCTACCATTACCGTCTCTACCGTTAGGGTACATTACGCAATTTTGTACTGTGCACAGGCGATCACGCAGGTGGTAACGTGCTAGCTAGCGTCTTAGGGTGCTCGGTGGTATTTCAGTCACTCTTACCGAATTATGTAGGCCGAAATTCTTAAGAAACGTTTTATGGCTGCACTTACTTCAACGGAAATAAAGGGCAGAATAAACGGGACCTTATTCTCGCCAGAAGTATCGTTTGGGGACATAGTTTTTTCTCCACACCTGTTCCAAGGAGCTGCAGTGTTGAAGCCTTTCGTGATTGTTACTTTCCGAGTCAATTCGGTATTCGAAATGGCTATTTTCCGCGCCAATTTGCCTGCGAAGCTGTAGCTCCTCAGGTAAGGTGTAGAGGAAAAAACACGCCCGCAAGCGATTATTCTAGCGAGAACAAAGTGCCGTTTATCGTGTCCTTTTTTGTAACAAATAAATGCACCTATAAAATGTTGCTTAAGAGGGGTCGGCTGATAGAATTTGGTAACAGTGAATGAAATATCACCGGACATTCTAGGACTCTAGCTAGTTCACAACCGCCTGTATGACCATCTGTGCACTACGCAAAGTTGCACAATATGCCCTGACATTAGAGACGGTGAGTGCATGAGTTCGGGTGCGGTGTGCCTAGTCTCTTTTAAAGCATGTGGGAACAAATATGTTGGCGAAACGGATAGACCACTCTGCTTCCGTATAGAAGAACACCTGGTAAATAAATCTGTAATAAATTGAAACAAAACAAAAGACTCCACTAGGCGTATATAGGATACAGAAAGAAGACGGAGAAGATTTTGAAATAAAATTCACTATCCGCTCACAAATCCAAAATACCAGAGCGTACAACTCTCGAGGCGTTTTTGGTAAATTCCAGAAATCCAAGAATGAACCGCAAAGAGGAGTATCTTCTGATCACAGCTGATCTAGCGCCAAACCTCAGACTGATTATTTGACCCTAGCCAGGCACATTCCTCGCACATGTAATACTCTGTGTTGCTGTTCTCCACCAAATAACTGGAAAACTTACGAAGAACAAAACGGTGGATGCTTGAAAGGAGCTATTTATTTCGTGAATGCAAATTTGTGTGTTAAGTGTTATTTTTTAAGGTTAGATAAGTGTTTGGCTGAATAGATCGCGTGTCAGTTTTACTTTAGCAGGCTCTGAAGAAGGCCATACCGTCGAAACGTCGCCTATTCTGCCTTAATAAATTCTATAATACCAGCTTCGTGTTTGCTCATCAAGGAAATCAGTGGATTATCGATCAGGTTAAAAGAAAGTAGGTGTTGAAATTTGCTATATGTAGGCGTTGTTCCCATTTGCACCGATACGGGAAAACGCGCTATTTTTCATGCGGTATGTCTTTGGAGTGTGAGGCATTTCTTGATGTGTAAGGTTCGTATTGTGATCATCGGATTTAATACTATTTCTAGGAGAATTTTAGTTACAGGTCATATTTTTTCTCCTCCAGATGAGGGACCTGTAGACATGTCCATTTCCGACAGAACTGATATAACAGGTTAGATATGCTTTTATTCTAGATTTTTTTTTCATGCACCTCTCGTTGACGAAACTTGGACCTTTCCTTTTATTCAGTTTGGAAACATCATTCAACTATTGCTTAATGCCCTAGCGAGTGATTCCTATCCACTTCGTTGCCATTAGGTTAATACTCTGTTATTTAGTGAAGCAATGGGTCAAAAATAGAATTTGTCCTGTACAGGAGCATGAGTATAGTATAACTCTTCATATCCGAGAATTTTCTTGGCTTCTTTCTCTCATTCGAGATCGCGCATTGACTATGTTAAGGATTCGAGATGCTCTTTTGCACAGATACATTCCAAATCATGAGAAATCGAGGTATTGCGCTGCTTTTTGTTCAGTAGTCGTGATGTTGTTATACAGCATACGTTTAGTTCCGTATAAAAGCACATACAACACAATAGTAACTGACGTTTCGGCAGTATCACATTCTTCATAGCCTGGAAGGGTATAGTGATACGCGATTGACTACGCCAAACGCATCAATACCTCACAACGGTTTACCGCCTCATCGTGCCTAGGTGTTTCTGGGTCTCGAACTGCGATGTGCTGTGGGGGAAGTCATTCCTCTAGCAGGATCTCCCAAGTTGAGAAGGAGTCTGGCGTTTCCATCAGGTAGCCCAGCTAAGAGTTAACCAATGCAAGGATCCACCACCATCTTGGTGTCAAACTAGTCGCATGGTGGCAAATCTCCCTCTGATCCACAAGGACGGCAACTGCCTGTGGTGACGATGATTCTGGGGCAGATTTCGGCCAGGCTGTCCTGGTGACTCTAGGGAACTACCAGCAAATCTCCGAACAGTGGAGATTATGCTGCGGGCCACACAACCAATGAGGATGGGCCATCCAAGTATCTACGTATCCAAGTAAACGCTTCAATAACATATGCAGAAAAGTGGGAATCTATGCACCATTTTTTACGTGCCTTCCACTGAGGAAGAACAGCTGATTAGCGTCGCATATGGTTGATGACTGCACCACCCCACAACAAAAATCTATGCGAATATACGGGGAGAGATCACGTGTGATTTCTGGGCATTCCTCCCTGCTATTCATTGTATAGTTTTTAGCATTTGTCCTAATAGCGTCATCAGTAAAGGTATTCTCTCAACTGTGAATGCATTCTATTCATGAAAAATTCATTGGGATTTTCAAGTGTGCTGTTTCAGGCTTCATATCGATAGCTAGTAATACGCCCTGTGAGGAAAGTAAATGTAGAACAGTATGCCATTTTCTTTCCAATAAATAATTTGGTAGTTTATATTTAGCCCTTGTGTTTTCTTCAGATCTTTGATTTTCTAGTTACTGGCTCTTGAAGGACAGTCTATACAACATTTCTCTACGTTAAACATCTCTCCCAGTTCACTAAGCTATGCGAACAAGGTTCTTCTTAGCTTCTGATGTGACTCTCAGTGACATTTTTCCGTGATTCTTTTTTTTCAGACGTTGAACTCTACGCTCATGAATGATACTGCACTCGTTTTCGAATCAAATAACCATAAACATTTTGGGAAAGAGGTTCCGGGTTTCATCACCTAGATACCCAACTTGTAATTGTTTCTGTTGATTTTCTTTCTTTCAGAACGCAGTTAATGATTGTTCCAAATGTGCTGACTTGCAAGACAATGCAGAATTTTTTAAAAAGAAAGTAAGAAACTTAGTGACTTACTGCTTTTTAAGCGATAACTTTGAAGTCGCTAGCGTATAGCTGTTTTTCCTTGACTGTGCAATTATCGAACAGTGGAAATATGAAGAAAAAAAAAGAAAGTGATCGATCTAGTCGTCCACCGACGGTTTGTTCTCGCCGTTCTCACTTACTTGGTACTTGAACGACCCATCTTCACTAGTTGAGCGGGTCCCAGTATAATTTCCATTCTCCGGAGATTTGTTGGTTTAGCCACTGTGGTTCTCTGGAGTCCCGAAGTCAGCCTGGCCAAAGTCTGCCCCAGGTCGTCACCACTGCAGGGAGTCGCCGCCCTTGTGGATATGAGGGAGATTTACCACCATGCGACTAGTTTGATACCAGGCCAGTGGTGGATCCGGGTGTTGGTTTACTCTTAGCTGAGCTTTCTGATGGAAACGCTGGACTCCTTCTCAGCTTAAGAGACTCTGCAAGAGGATGAATCCCCCGCCTGTACAACGCAGCCCGACACATAGGAACACCTCCTGGCCACAATGAGGCAGTAAACCGTTGAGAGGACGGTTTGTCCACTTACGGCTATGTTTGAATTCTGTTCGGTATTGAAACTACGGGATATCGTAGAATTTGCTTTGCAAATCTGTATCTATTCAGGAAATCTCTGCGGATATCTCGAACATGGATGTTACTGTCGGAATCTCTCAAAATGTTCAGGAGCAGGTGCGCCTTTTTTCGCACATTTGCCTTAATTGTGTATCAAGAGCTTGTCATCTATCTTCAGACTTAAATGTTTATAAATATAAGTTTTCCATCATTGGTATGTTACAATTATTTAAAGGTTATGCGTTTTTTTCGCTATACAAGATCCGTCTTGATGTCTATTGTGTTGATACCAGCACTTTTTGCAATCGACTCATTTGTTTCACTCATCCAAGAAGATGTTCGTACTTTTCTGACATTTTGCAACCATGTTCCAGAAATATAACAACGTCGTCGATGGTACACAAAATTCAGACGAGAACAAAACTGCATTAGCAATGAGTATATTGCAGACTTTTAGTGAAGCTGTTGTTGAGACAAGGGTGGGTAAATGTAAAGGAAACTGGTATACCTGTCTGGTTCTCATGCATGGGTTCTTTTCTTTTCAAGGAATATAGCAACGACGTCGGTGCAGCACAAATTCCGGACGAAAACAAAACTGCATTAGCGATGAGTATAGTGCAAACACTTAGTGAGCCCGCTGCTGATACAAGAGTGGGTTGATTTACACAAAAATTGGTATACCCTTCTGCTTCTCATTCTTCCTTTTTCCCTCTCCAGATTTATTATATACGTATTTATATATGTATATATATATATATATATATATATATACACATATATACTTGGATACTTGGACGGCTTATCCTCACTGGTTGTGCGGGCCCAAGATATTCTCCATTCGGAGTTCTGCTGGCTTAGTAATTGTGTTTCTTCGAGGTCCCGAGGTCAGCTTGGCCAAAGTCTGACCCAGGTCGTCACCGCCGCAGGCAGTCGCAGCCCTCGTGGAACAGAGGGAGACCTGCCACCAAGCGACTAATTTGATGTCAGGTCAGGATGGTGGTGAATTCTGTTATGGTTTACCTTTAGTTGGGCTTCTTGATGGAAACGCTGGGCTCCTCAGCGGGGAGATTCATCTCCCTGCTGTATATGGCAGCCCAAAACCCAGGAACACCTCCCAGCGACGATGATGCAGTGAGCTATTTGGAGGATACATATGTATATGAATATGTATGTACATATATATGTGTTTATATACTTATATTATGTATATATATATATATATACGTGCACATGTATGCATATATACATGACTAAAACGATGATATATTGTATATATTTTAGACAACTATGGCAGAAACTATGACCGAAATGGATTGTACGATTAACGAATCACACAACGTGGCCAACGTCAAAGGCGGAGAGGTATGTGTTATGGTACCTTCCTTCCCACTTAATTTCTCAACTCCGCAGTTGTTCTTTTTTATCAAGAAAGGCACTTGAACTCATTAAGTTTTTCGAAGACAAATATGCATATTTTAGCAAGTAGGAAGTAGTTTGCAATCGTCAATTTCGTCAGGAGATCATACTGTTTGTTCCGTGCAGTCGCTGTGTGATAAAATTGCTTGTTATCTAAAAAGAATGATATTTAACACACAATCACTGCAGGTTCGTAGCCATATATTCGTAACCTTTTCTCTGGCGCTTGATTATCCCGATATAGGTTAACTATGTGAGTCCTGTAATTGATCAGCCGGAAAGTAACGTTGTTCGGGAGCTTATTTTGGAGGAACTAAGGAGAATGGTGCTCAAAATCAAAGAGAGGTACCTCATGTTGCTGCTTTCATTTGCATTATGCATCCGCTTTTCTGTATACTATTGTCATTCCTTTGCTTTACAGTTCTTCATCTAAGGTCGCTGTCTTGCTGCCAAAACTAGAGGCAATTGCTCCAACGAAAGCTTTAGCCCTAAGGAATATGAACATGAGAGCTGTAACTTCTAGTGTTTTTTGTTTACAAACTCTGAATACAATATTTAATTCCTTATGTTGCCTCTAGAATAATTTTTATAAGTTTTATTTTATTTGGATCCTTGGATGTGCCGTCTCTACGAGTAGTGCGAGTTCCAGCACATTCTTTCTTTTTCACGCAATCGTATTTCATGATGGAAATCTACTGCGAACATGGTAACGTTTGCGACACATATTCCGCGATCTCTTAATCGGTTCTAACTGTGAATATAGATGATTTGCGTAGTTCAGAAACATGTTTGCCCCATCGCTCGTCTTTTTCTGAGAGAACGCTTTTATACCCTTGGATCCCGCTCTACTGATGTTTTCGTCCATCTGTCATCTGTTCTCGTTATATGACCAGTCCCTCTGTGCTTTCTAAGAAACTGAGAGTACCGGTTAAATTCCAAAAGACATCGTTCAAACGTTTTGGGTGTTGGATGCACAGAGTTTTCCAGGTAGTTGAAATATCAACCGAACTCTTTACTTCGTAGCAACGCAGTGCTGGGCAGTGTGGCTTCTGTGAGAGGCTGACAAGCGACCAGTGCGGCTTTCCTTCTACTGTGAAATTCCTCTTGCATGTTTTTCATGTTCACTGAACACCCATCGAACACGTGAGGTGGTCTTTGTAATCAGAGAACATCTAATTCGATTTGTTCACCTTCGCGCCATCTTCATGAACTGGTAGTAGTTCATTGAGATCACTGATCATCGTCCACTTCATTGGTACTCCTTGAAAAGATTATACACAGAAATTTGCTACCAGTACGTATGTTTTTTCCATCGCAAGGCGGTAACTTCATTGTCCACTTTTGTGTGGCTGTAAACAGCTTAGGTGAGATAGGGCTCCCTTTTCGAACCTGTATCCCTTTAGGAATGAAAATGAATTCATTGAAGTGCTTTATTTTTGTGTAGTAGTTAGGTTAGCAGTTAGTTGACTTCCTATAGGTGACCATTCCTCGATGATGCTTTGATGTTATTGCATTCGTTTTGACTCTGCCAAAGTCTTTTTCACGATCAGTAAAGGCAAAGTACAGGACACAATAGGACAAGGAATAGATAGTGTTTTTTATAGATATCTATGATCATGGGCACTGTTTAGACATCCATACGACAGAATCCCTGTCAGAATCCTGCGCCCAACTACTATGTCTCATTCAATGTCGTTGGTTTTCGCGACAAGATAATTGTTGTGGAGAGATTGTAGACTACCCCCAACCAGCAAATCGAATAGTAGTTATGAGGATTCCTTCGGTCTCCTTCGGGCAGAATGCCTCATGCAATGTCACTCACTGCTTTGGGCTTCTTTTATTTTGAAGCTAAGATGCTACGTGTGTAACAGGAAGCTGATGTAGTTTGTGGCTTTCGCCTCAAGAGAAGTGTGCTACAATACTGTAGTGTCCAGGTGCAGTGCCGCTTTTCATGTTTTCTATCGTAACTCAAATTTCGGAGGAAATAATGCGGAGCAATTTTTCTCCAGCGAGGGTTTCGGAGTCTGAGAAGGATTGTGGAATGAGAAAGGTTGGTACAGAGCTTTACCGTTATTAGTTACCTATCACGGCATGATGTGGTGATTGTCCCATCATTTATCGATACTAATAGCAGAACACTACTCGCACAGCTCCCAACGGCACTTCTTTGGCTTAGGTCGTCTTTGAGCTGCTTGCAATAATTTTTTCTGTCTATGCTGGTGTGAATCCTATTTGATAGATCTTCTACAGATTTATTATCACCTGTTAGGTGTTTTTCGGTAGGGTTATGGTTCAGTTTTCTTATTTTCGAGCAATTCCTTAGTGGTAATGGAGGTGCTGTTCGAGCTTCTTGGTTTAGGGACTGAAACAAGTTTACAACAAGTTTTAAATCCTTCGATAACTATCTTGTAGTCGTTGGTACGGTCTACCTCTACCTGGCTGTTTTCGCCGATACTATTTTATTGAGAGTGCTCTCATCAGACACCACTTGCTTGTTTTTCTTGGTTGATCTTTTGCAGTGTGTCCCTGAATCAAGTCTTCGCACGGAGAAGGTAGGCGGTGATGAGATCTAGTACGAAATGGTGGCACCATGTAGGTTCAAACAGACACCAACATTGTCTTAGTGAGATTGTGGTGTCGATCTCCGCTTGAGTTGTGCCAGCGGGAAACACCCATCCCACGCGACGTTTTTCAGTCTCGAAACATGGGTACCTATTGAAAAAAGGTGTGGACGGGATTCTGGTCGACTATTTATAATCTCATTTCAATATGCTATTCTAAATCCCCTTATTCCTTTCTGATATTCCTTTTCGTTGGCGCTTTATAACTTGGGATTGAAGCGTCTAATAACGAATTTATAGAAGGGAATTTCGTCGTGGATTACCTCCACCAGTTGTTTTTTATGTTTATGAGGAGCGTTCAGTGCACTGTCATCAGCTGCACAGATGAATAATCAACTAACGAGTAGCATTCGATGACAGTGAAGCTCTTTTAATCCTGGGATTGAAAAAGAAGAATACCAAAACGAATTGATAAGATCTCGCATGATACAACCTGATTGGTAACAGATGGGTGTACGACGAAGTCAATGCACATCGACATCTCATGACAGAACTTCCCCTTCACCAATTAAAAGGGCGTGCGTGTGGCGAAGTGGTCAGAGGCGCCTTGCTACACAGACATTTGATCGATCCCTGCGGCCGTGGCTCACCAAGCCGTCCATCCCTCCGGGGTCGGCAAATTGGTACCAGGCTTGTCTGGGAGGATAGCAGCACTGACTCTGTACATCGGTAAGCCACTGAGAGTCATTGTAAAGGCCAGATATGCATTCAATAACTTCGTTACGATGCTTAATGAAGTCGAATGCATGGCGCATCCCACAGGAATTGGTCAACGCCGAGAGCTTTATCCTTTTATCCTTTTTATTTCATAGTAGATGAGAGATGACCTGTCAACGAAGGCAAGTATTAATTAAAATCACCATGAGGCCGATTTTTACATTATTCATTAGGAACTTCATAAAGGATCGTCACACTTGTTAAACAATTCTTGTGAATTGGTTTAGTTAAAGAGAAATGAGAATGTGACGGAGCATTCTCGCTAATATTTGTTAAATTCCTCCATCAAATTTAACTATGTTTTTGACAAATCTTTTTATAGTTAGAATTTGACGACGAAGATCTTTTTTATTGTGGATGTTTACGTGCCGAAATTGAATTGGCTCAAATTCGTCTGGAAGTCGCTCAACAGGCACGAATAGCGCTTGAGGTTGGGGATGACTTGCGTTTTCTGTTTCAGGTTTCATCACTAGATAGATCTGCAGAATGGATACTATTTGTATTTTCCAGCAATTAATTGCAAGTGATGAGTCCACCTTGAGAACACTTCGGGAAGATGCTCAACTTTGCAGCTCCATCGACGAACTTCAGAGAGGTCATTGATACTTTTCTATTTCTTATATAGATCCAAAAGTGTAGAAAGCAGATCTTGAAGGCACTGCTAATGCTTAAAATATTTAAGACATAGAATTGCTAGTAGGAAATGGAAATAAGACAGATGTTCTCACCTTTCTTCCCAGAAAATACATGTTCTGGTTAATTTTTAAACTATGGGCACGTGTAGTGCAGTGGTCCGAGGCGCCCTGCAATCCATATGTGGTCGATCACCGTGACCCAGGCTCACCAGGCCTTCGATCCCTCCAGGGTCGGCGAATTGGTACCAGATTTGTTTGGGAGGATAGCAGCACTGGCTCGATATATCGGTAGACTAGCGCGAGTAATTGTATAGGCCAGATGTGCATTCGCTCACCTTCAAACGATGCTGGATGAAGTCGAATGCATGGCGCATCTCCCAGAGATTAATCAATGCTGAGAGGTTTTTTATCCTTCTATTTTTAAACTGTGGTGTGATTGTAATACGGACGCTTTGTAAAAATTTCTTATTAGTCTGGGAAAGTTATGTAGTGTGCTTTTATCACAATTTTATTTGTTACTATCTAGAAATCTAGTGTTTAGATGTTCAAACGCTTCAAGCAGAGCTCTCTGATTTGCCTTCTGTTGACGAGATCGCTGAACTGGTTGCTTCTCATAAGCAAACTGTTGAGGACGAAAAAAATCTTCATCGTCAGATACTGGGCCTAGAAATACAGGTAGTTTAGGTACAACTCTTGTCTGTTTATTACTGTGGTCAAGAGTTTATCTTCTCTGTTGATGGCCTAATGATAGGACCGTTGGTCTTTGTGGTCTGGATCTTCATAATTTTGGTAATTAGTGGAGAAAGTACCTCTCATTAGTACATTAATGAACTTGATGTATCACATACAGTGTTTAAGGAGCGGCGTCTGGAAGTCGAACTAGCGAGAGCGAAGAACAAGGATTTCAAGGAAACTATCGAAAAATTGGATTTTCTGGTCAACACATATGAAATGAACAAAGCGCGAGTTCACGCGTTCACACAGAAAATTCATAATTTACATATGTAACAATGGTAATAGAATTGATTGTAAAGATTGTAAAGGACCCAATACAAACTAACGTTATATGTATATATATATATATATATATATGTATATATATATATGTATATGCATATGTAATATATATATATACATGAAGTCGAATGAAGTCGAACAAGGAGTATTGCTGAGTGTTTTCTTAGTTCAGTCCAAAGATCTGTCTCCCTACTTTATTTATAAGTAGAGCATGCCTTTACCAACGTGCAACGTTTACCGGATTGGTATTTTGCTCATTGGTCGTTTATTTCTGGGGTGCCAAAATAGCGCAAGTAGGCCTGGCGTGGTTCTCACCACAAGCGGTCGTGACCGCCTTTTGTTGATCGGGGGTAGAGGTACGTTGCCTTTGCGACTGTTCATTCTATGGTAGGCGGCGAATTCTGTCTTAGGATCTACCCCAGATTGGGTTTTCATGAACAAATTTTTCACATCCTAATTTGGATGATCAGGGGATGGAGCATTACTGTACATCATTGGTTGACATCCAGATACATACTTTTGTCATATGAGTTGTACTATCGAGGCAGTTGTTCTAATGTTTTACTACAATTTGTATTCTAGATGTCACTTCAAGCTTTCCAAACAATTATGTGTTTAAAGCTGATTTGTCAAAAAAAAATAGGACGTTTTGGAAGGGTTTAGTTTTGCTCCACGTTTTTGTGAAATCTAACCGCTGACCTTCGATTTATGTCTACACTATGAGCCATAGAGCGATGTATGGCCTATCGCTAAGGTTTTGCGACATTAAGATGCCGATACCGATTTAATCGAAAAGACGACGAATTTTTCTGGAATACTTGACAAATTTTGTCATGTCTTTGTTTTTTAGATAATTTCATAGCTTTGCTTTGTTTTGCAGCTTATTACTCTTCGTATTTCTAGTTAACCTCTTTGTAATCCTAGTGTTTCGTCCGTTTTTTTCTATGCGGTAACAATGAAATCATGTTTTCTAGTTCTTCTTTCAGGATTCGTGACGATGGTTTCTATTGGTTTTCCTCATTTCACTTAGAAGAGTTCCTTCCCTTTTTTAGATATAATCATGAGGAAGTTCGTTAAGGACCAGAAGGTGGCACCCTGTGTTTATAGAGTGATCGCTGTACATCTGCCTTTAATTGATGCCGACTGCAGTGTCCATTGTTTCATTCAGTGTTGCTCGTATGTGGTGATTCTAGTATGAGCCATTATATCTCTGCCTTATTCCTCTGAGTTGCTGAACCGAACTATATCACTCTGAGCGTCCTCAATCTGTGTAGTACTCTGCTCTGAATAAAAATAACCACATCTGTTATGCGTTTTTTATGAGATAGCATAAGTTCAGTTCTTCATATCTCCTATCAGATCACTTAGGTAATAATCTAGTGTGTTTTAGATAAACATGATCTTGTTCTTCTTTTTTTCCTTATTTATTTGCTTTTTATCTTTAACTTCACTTCCTCTTCAAATCCACGCAAATTCATTGCTCCTTAGGTCTTTGTTTCTTGCTGAAGTTATAATGAGTCTCTTAGTATTTCATATACTAATCGTTACACGAACCTAGCTGTTATGGTAGTCAGTTCTATGCGGAATAGATGCACCGAAATTAGCCTTTGTGTTAGAGGTACCATCGCGATTCGATCATCCATAAATGGCTGTCAGTTGTCAGAAGGCTTATTGCTGTCTTTTGTCAATGCCGATAGAGTTATGTGTCTGAATTAGCGTTCTCGAAGAAGTGATTCCATCGTAGGTGAAATTTTTGCTAGTGGATTTAAGTGAGAAAGGCAAAGTCTTCCTTCCTCAATGGTTATAGGTTGGCTATATATCCTTTAAGATGTTTTGCTGCTGTATTTGACCAGCGGTGATATAATAATCTTAGGGAAATGTCCACTTTCCAACTAGCTCTTTAGTTTGTGGGACGTTCAGTTTTTATCCTTCCTGCATTGAAACTGTGGAATCTCTCCAATTTTCTTGTCGTTGGATTGTGTACTTTTTGGAATTGATCGCTGGCAACTCTGACATGACGGTTTGTGCACTTAAGAATCCAGATCTAATCTCAATGAATGCTTTTATACCACATATATTGTCCAACCTAGATCTTATACAACTTCCCAGTTAATCTTAGCTGACCACAAAAACAGACTAATCTGAGAAATGTGGTAGCGTCTGGTGCGATGATGCGAAAGGAGCGTCGTCAGCTGCTTGATCGGTGTCTGATCGATCTCAGTCGTGAAATGGAAGTTGACGATGTACTAATGTACCTTCAGGGAAAAGGAGTGTTCACTGATGCAGTCGTGGATAAAGTTCTGGTAAGTGTCTTCTCAGTTCTTGAATTTGTAAAAGTTTTCAAGACGTGAGGAGGGATGTTAATGTTCGTTAATTTTTTGTTAATCACACTCTTTGGTCTCTGATGACTAAAATCAGGTAGCACTGTAGTGAAGTAATGCGGTGCCTTATCGTAGGTTCGGTCTCTAGAATGTGTGTTCTTCTTGGTTTTCTGGATACTTCCATACTTCATTAGGTTTAGTTGTTGGACACAGCCTTAATGAATACGACATTGTTTTGCACTTCTGGAAGTTTTAAGAGAAACATTACTTCGACATGTTTACTTGCCTTTCCTCCAAAAATCTCTAGTCGTTCTCTGTGTGTTTGTGTAGTAGTTTTTCATGAACGTGTAATTAACATCTACTTGAGGAATATATGATTGTATAATATTTCAACAAGCTGTCTAGTGCAGCTAGAATATAAGCAAGGGTTAAAACTTATCTTTCATCTTACAAAGTTACTCTAGTTGGCATTACATGATTGGTAGTTGTAGTGTATTTCAAAGATTTCGTTAGATAAGCTCTCTTATTGAATTACAGTGCTCTGGTAGCGCCACAGCTCAACGAGCTGCTATTGTTCGTGCGGTAAAGTCGAGAGGTGATAGAGCGTTCGAGGCATTCTTCCGAGCACTGCTCCACGCACGACAGCGGCATCTGGCTGACCTTCTTCGACCGCTCATCGATGATGGGGTTTTGCAAACGATGTGGGTGCTTTCCATATTTTATGAAACGTTTTCCATCAAGGAAATCATTCTTAGGAGACCTTTAATGAGGAATACAAAATGATTCTGAAAAACCAATCGCTATATCTTGTCTTTACAGTGAAGCTAGTCTACAGGATGTTACCAGTGGACATTCTATTTGTCTTGAATCATGAAAAAACGTTGCTCCGAAAAGTCTTGTATCCTTCTTTTCTTGTGGTGATATATGCTTTCCTTTTATTTTGTTATATCACGTAATGGCTGTTGTGCGCTAAAAAGTTAACCTGTTGATGAAAGGAACAGGTTGGCTAGGTTCTTCCGACTCCTATTTTTCAGCAATTCAAGTCATAAGTCATGTTTCTTGTGTAGGTCATGGTGTACCTGTGTATGAGTTGTATACACCCTCGTAAAAAGTAATAGTCTTTGTGCTACTTCGTCATCACAAAGGCGAATTAGTCGCGCTGGAACATAGGCCGGCTGTCGCCCTGTTATATTCATTATATTCGGTGCTCTAGCGATCTATGTGCGCTTTTACTAGCAGTGGCCTCTGTTGTACTTTCCGCGGCAAGACCCAAATAGGGAGAGAAATATCTTGCAAAAAAAGACGTTTTTTTTGCAAATCGTTATTTATTGAAAGATATGCTTCTTGTCTGTCGATCGACACACTATTTTTACAGATACCCTAGAATGGATACAAAAACTAGAAGAAAAGTTCTGGACAGCAAAATAAACGGTCAGAAAAGAAATGAGTTATTGTGCATAGTCATATATGACTCGTTTCCTCACCACTACTTTTGTTACATTCATGACAATATTGGTTTTCTGGTAACTTTCGATATTTCCTCGACAAATGAAATATTTGAAGATTTGATGATCCAAAGGACTTATAGAAGATACTTTTCCCTGGCAGTTTAAAGCTGTATGTATTTTGTTCACTTCATCGTCTTCAACTTCATTTAAAATTGGGGTTTTCAAAGGATCGAAATTTCAAGTTTTTAAAATGCGAGGTTAACCGCGTGCTTAATCGATCCCGTCGGTATCGTGATCAGCTCCTACTAAGCGGGATGTCTTTTGTTCGATCTCTTTACTGTACCATATACCAGCATCGATGAAAACAAGCCATGAATTGTGATCTACGGGCTTTATAAAATCAGAATTTCATCTTTGTGGAGCGAAAAGACATGTGCCTCGTTGGTTAGTGTCTATGGGCTGGCGAATGTGTTAATGAGGCGCGAAATGCGTAATGACCTTTGGGCTGTTTACGTGACGAGATGTGTGTTCTTTTCCTACACGCAAGTGATAATTGTGGCTTTATGCTTACATATTTTTGCAACTGGCTTCAGGTTAGCTTATGAGCATTAAAAAAGGGACTGCGTTGACAACGTAAGGAAACATGTGATTCAAACTGTATTTGATGGGTGTTTCCTTCTGTATGATGCCTTCAACTTATTCAAAGGTCTTCACATATCCACTATATAGATGTGGCCACGTGGTAAGGAACCACAGGCTGCAAAACCTCATGGTTTTCTAAGAATATGGAGAACTTCGTTCTTACGAACTGACGGTGTCTATAGGACATTCGTGACCACCGTTAGTTTCACCGTGACTGCAAAAGCAGTAAAAGTCTTTCGCAATTTAAACATGGTAATGATGATATTTTCGACAATGAACGATAAATTTTCAGTAGCTAGAGGACTTATGGTGGGATTGAAGATGTCCCAGTCTTATAAAGGAGGTTTGATCTATCTACTCAGATATATACATGTATATATATGCATATATACATGTGTATATGTGTATACTACTAGCTACATTTTACAGGAGTTCATCTTACTGATATATTCCTGCCAACATTTGGAAGGATTTGACAGGATTTTACAACCTATGTTTTATGTATTTCGGTATATCTTATAGCCACTCATTCCATAGAATAACCATAGAATAAACTCAATTAGAAGTGGGAAAACAGTGAGTTACTGGTGGGAAATCGAACTTTGTTTGCCCTAGATAACGGCTGACACCGGTTTTCTAACGATTCGATAATTTTCAATAAGTAGATGACTCACGAAGTTGACAACAGGGCTTTGTTTTCGAAGAGATTTGCATTATCATTCGAAAGAAGTTTCGTAATTTTCCTAGAGTTTAATTTTTAGATTCAGGTTTATTGAGATTTGGAACCCTAGAAAATCCAATTTTTATCTTAACAGAATTAGGAGACATGTATCTTGTGGGCCAAGATTTCTCCATTCCGATAGTTCTCATTTAAATTGGTGAAGTTCATTATGAGCCGAGACATGCTTCTTGAAAGACGCACAAGACGCTTTCGAGCACGTATGAATAATCTTTGAATGGCTTTTTTTAATCTCTTCTTTTAGTTTCTTCCCTATCTTTCTCACAGACCTCATTTTTAGGACTAATTTTCCCTGTCGAAAATTGTTGAGTATTACACATAGAGCCATATTGATTGACTAGAGCTTCAATTTCGATTTCAATCGACTTCTCGTCGAGAGTGACAACGAAGAAGTCAGGAATGCGGATGATAACATGGGACCACCTATGCATTCCGTCGAGGAGACTGAAAAAAGCGCATCGGTGAAAGAATATGGACGTATTAATAATGTCCGTAGTGAGTGGTCTTGCTATGTAATGCCCCTCAACCTTCTTATCTTCGGTGGTTGTTAACTAATAAGAATAGACAATTATTAGCTCGATGCAAAGAGCCGAAACACTCTGAGTTATTTACGGCTGAAATGTGGGAGCTGATAACGAAAGAGACGATCGGATATGGTGAGTAGAAGAACGTTCTAGGATGCGACAAGTGTTGAGAGATGAGAAGATTCATCGGCTTCAGTTCTGAGATGAGCATGGTTTAGCTGCAGCATTTGAGCGATTTTTGGAGTTCGAACCCGCTCTTGTCTGTCATCTTGTTAGAGCCTGTATTAACAATTGAAGATTGTGGGAATACAAGTATTCCCTTAATTGAGAACTAAGCTCACATAAAGACCATTTTTAATGGTAGCTGTAAGGAGAAGGAGAACTAGGTTCCCAAACGCGTCGTACACCGGAAGCTGAGTATAGGACAGTAGCCCAAAAGAATCGGAGCATTATAATGATGCTGAAGTGGAAAGGTGAGATGGACATTATTATGTGCTCAATAGCACGCAACCGGACCGTCTACCGCAGATGACTGAAGGGAAGATCGTTTATTATATGCAAGAATTTCATGTTGAATTTATTGGTTGTTAAGCTTAAGTGTAGAGTTCCAGTGTTCATTCGGAGGCGTTTCTATGTCTCTTTACGAGCCACGTTCTGTAGTGCGTACTCTCTTCAACATCAATAGTCTCCAGGTGCACAATGGATTCATCCGGAAAAAGGTTTTTGTAAATTATTAAATGGGCAGAACGGCGTTCTATGGGCGTTTTCGTAAATTATTAAGTGGTCAGGACGGCTTTTCATGGACTACGTTTTAACATAACATCTGTGTTGGGAAAACCACTGATTATTTGCAAACTATACGAAAAAGAAAGCCTCATGGAACAAAATGCATTACTGAGGAAGCGTTCACAAAATACCTAATAATAATCCACGTGGTTATTTGTGTTAATAAAGTAGTCGAAGTAGTGAATGCTTATGACGTAAGAGAGTAAAAGAAGAAGTTTATGCAGTAGCAGTAACATCGCATGGGACGCAGCTACCAATGACTGCTGTCAACTAGTTGTCGTTAGGAGATGCATCTTTTATCTGGTTCACCAGGTTTTAGTCGTTTTGGCGTACACCTGTGATCCTTGGTCTGTGCATAGGTGGGAAACATCGGATTGTTTGTCTCATTTTATGATACTCCGATAACCACAAGTTTGAGAAAAGTCACCGTTACCTCACACTGCTTGCGTAGCGTCCAGGTTTCTGAAGCGTACGCTAACTCATGAACATTCGAGTCGAAAGGGGAATGGGAGCGCGGTTTCGTCTAATTTTTCAGTGCATCCTTCATTATAGCTTCCAAACTAGCTCATTTCCTCAGTTAAACCTTTGAACTCAATCGTTATTGAATGGGGGTATTAGCAACGTTTCCAAGCAGCATCCTTTTCCGTAGCAGTTGTCGATGTGGTTAGCGAAGTGAAGACGATGTAGCTATTAGCTACCGACTTTCGATCTCATGTTGTCCAATTCAGCATTCTCATATTCTGGAGCAAGTAATATCAGTATGTCGCATTCCTGTTTGTACATCGATAATAATATTACCATCATGATGCTGAGGTATTTGCAAAAAGATGGAAAATAGGTATATTTTTATAAGAGGTAGATAGATAGATAGAAGACTAGCCGAGGAAAAGGCGAAACGAAGGACCCGCATGGTGTCGTGATGAACGCGTTAGCACCCGGAACGGGTAATACCGGGTTCGATTTCCACCGTAGACATCTGCGCTCCGGGGTTTTGCAAATATCTCAGCATCATTATGGGTGTATTTTACATATTGTTGTAAAATAGTAAATTTCGTGTGTCGCTCATTGAAGATGTTTGTCTGCGTAACAAGGATTCTTTAGTTATCAAGAACCTAAGGATAGGTAACTAAAATTAGGTTATTAAACATAATAGTTGTTAAGAAATGCTCTTCTATTGGAATGTGCCTTTTTTCAAAGAGGATGATACATGTCTAAATTTCCACCTATGTGACATGTTCCTCAATAAGAATTTCCTATCTGTTGTTGACATTCTGTTCAAACGTAGTATTATTACATCTTAGCAGTAAGTTGTTTTTTTGGGAACTCACAAGAACGGCTCTTTAAAATACTGAATTCGAAGCTACTTTGTTTAATATGAGATAGTTTCTTGCTCAAAAATTTGCTTATTTTGGAGTTAATTTGGTGCTAATATCATTGGTGTTAATGAGGACACTTCACTCATTTCCTGAAGATCTCACTATTTTCAGTGAAAATGAACCTACGAGTAATGTTGAAAATAGGACAAGCCGGTCTTTATCGAAACCGAATAGGTTAGGTAGGGCATGTTTGGTAATTTTGCCATAATTTTATAGCGTTCATATTGTTTATTACTAATTAAGCCGTTTTTCTTTGGTGTTTGTCTATGATTTATGAAATACTGTATTTTTTGAAGAGCTTTCTCCGTTACCTCCGATGGAACCAACTGGTTTGTTAGAAGGTTTGCGAGTTGACATGATTGATAATAATGCTTCTCCGGAAATGGAAATGTATATGAAAAATCGTGATTCGGTGAGGATGCACGTGGAAATCAGAGTTTACCTTTTCCTGCTAGAGTTTTTTAAGTTGGATTTTACCACCTACTATTACAAATTGTGTGTTTTAGATATACCCCAACTTCTCGTGTCCCAAAGGTCTATGTCTGATAATCAATAATGAAAACTTTTCATCGATGCCTAGACGTCAAGGAACAGAGATCGATTGCGCGAATCTTCGAAATTTATTTCACCAACTGGGATATAATGTTCTTGTTGAAAACGATCTCAGTTGTAAGGTATGTAGGTGTTTAATGTATCAACTGAATTACGTTTGTACACATAGATGTATACATGTATACATATATGTACATGTACATATATATCTATACATATATATATGCGCAGTTGGTCTATGTATATATGCACGTGCATGTGTGTATCTGTGTATATGTACTTGTGTGTACGTGTTTGTATGTAGGTACGTATGTATGTACGTCGGTGTGTGTACTTGTTGGTGTGTCGGTTTTTTCTCAGCATCTTCGCCTTTACATTTCATAATCATTAAGTAAAAATTTAATTTAAACTGCTTTCCCCTTACGTTAACGGGGTTTATTTGTCGTAGTAGAGAAATAATTACTTGATATTTGATACTTGAACGGCCCGTCCTCACTGGTTGTGCGGGCCCCAGCGTAATCACCATTTTTCGGAGATCTGCTGGTTAAGCCATTGTGGTTTCCTGGAATCTCGAGGTCAGCCCGGCCAAAGTCTGCTCCAGGTCTTCACCACCACGAGTAGTCGTAGACCTTGTGGATCAAGAGATTTGCCACTATGAGACTTTGATATCAAAACGACAGTGGATCCTGCTATTGGTTTACTCTTGGCTAGGCTTCCTGATGGAAACGTAATAGAGAAATAGTAGTAATAATGACAATAAAGGTTGAAATTATGACATTGATCTTCGATAATCAATAATCCGTTAACTAAACTTTCTTACTTTTCTAGGAAATGCTTGCTCAAATGAGATTATTTGCGAGTGATCCAAGACATCGTCTAGCGTCTTCAACTGTTGTAGTAGTATTGACACATGGAGAACGAGATCAACTGCTTGGTGAGTTGAGAAGAACTAGCATTGTTTGACGGTTTGAAAAATTTTTTCGTCATATTCGTCGTGACGTTTTTCACGACAATTACTACTTCCTTACTTGGATACTTGGACGGCCCGTCCTCACTTGGTTGTTGGGGTCCCAACATAATCTCCATTTTTTGGAGTTGTGCTGGTTTAGCCATTGTGCTTTCCTGGAGTCCCGAGGTCAGCCAGGCCAAAGTCTGCCCCAAGTCGTCACCACCACAAGGAGTCGCCGTCCTTGTGGATCAGAGGGAAATTTACCGCCATGCATCTTGTTTGGTACCAGGACGGTGACGAATCCTGGTATTGATTTATTACTAATGATCTATATAATATTATAGCAGTTACAGTTAACAGTGAGAAGCACACATTAAAACGCTTGAAACGCATGCAAAGCAGAGAGTTTGAGCACTGTCGAAGGATTATTCTTTGGGGTTAACTGTGAAGGTTAACCTTCTTCTCATTCTCGAAGACTAGAAGTTCTCGAGAAGAACGTCTTAGTAACGAGCGTTCAGTAATGTCCCTGGTCGAACAATAAGGTTGTTCTTCCACCGATGTAGAATGTTTAGGGTCTTAAGAAAGTTGTTTAGGTCTGGTTTTTCGAGAACGGATGAGTTTGTTGTGTTCAATTTCTCACATTTATTCATACATACCGAGTGAAATCTCTTCATGAACAACCACACGCTTTCTTCCTGTGCTTCTTTGCCATTTCTTTTAGGATTAGAAAAATATGTTACCAAACGCTGCTTAGTGATGTGATTGAAAGTCATTAGTCAAAAAGTTATTCTCTATGTGTTTTGCGAAGAACCTATGAATGGAAACAAATTAACTCATTGAAATTAATTTAGGAGTCGATCAAGATGATGACATGATTTCTGTCTATTCATTCTTGGAGATGTTGAATGCAAAAAATGCTCCTCTTCTAGCCGGAAAGCCAAAGTTGATATTCATTCAAGCTTGCAGAGGGGGTAAGTAGGATACAAACTGTCGAAGTACCGCGAAAGCGTGCAGTATAAAATCGGAATAGTAGGGTAAACACTAACATCTTTGAGCAAATCGCTTTATCCCAAATCCACATCAAGTGAGAAATGGATAGATGAATCGGAAAATTTTTGCTATGCCTCCAAGAGGGAACTGTGAGGCTTAATAGGTTGGACATCTTCTTTTAAGATAAACAAGCTGTAAATTTCACTGGTCTGTTGGTATTTATCGCTAGTGAGTTTCACAAGATTTATTGCCTGAATCTCTTATTTTTCACCGTTTATGGGCCAAGAAAGTTCACAGAATGGGTCAATGTATTACAAAGTCGCCGATTTTTTCTTCATGTCGTTCTTTTTTTTTTTAAATTGATAGTTGGTTTAGACTGCACATTGCATCTGGAACTTCATACGATGGGAAGTCCACAACCACTCCATTAACCTTTTTTGTAACGATTTTGTTTTCATCTTGTTTAATGCCAAATTTGGGCTATTGACGGAAAGACAACCTAGTACTGTGATCCAAATAACCTAGTGGGACTCATTTTCTCCGTATTTTGTAACAATAATAAAATATTATAATTAAATCATTCAAATAATTCTGTTATAGCAATGAAATTAAAGCGCTAGATCATCATTCAGCTTAAACAACAAATCACACTTTTATCGCTTGTTTTGGAAGCGTCTGAGAGAGAGATGGTTCTACCTACTAGCATATGTTACCTTTGTGTGCGCTCAATCATACGTAGCAACTAATGCGTCTTCAAAATTCGCTTTATAAACGGACCGTAATCACATGTGAATCTCATGCTGTAAGAATGTTCATTTTATAACAGTGATCCAATGCTTTCAGCTTTCAAAACGTTCAAATGCCAGTTTTGCATGTTGTTACAGTATAAAATCTTCACGAACAAATTATTGCAATGCGAGTGACAAAGCGGCAATGTGCGTAAATTGTTCTGTAGATTGTGCATAAGAAACCGTTTGATCTCATATACCTCTTGAACATTGTCGTGCGAAAGAAATGAATGCCCCGTCCCATAGTGATTTTGTAGGCGACTGAGTGGACGTGAATTGGGCATGAATGTTTCATATACGAACAATCGGTATTGTAAAAGTATGACTGCAAATAGTTGACAGGTGTTAACAGAGCTACCTCGTTTTACTGTCATTGCACACAGCGTTGAAGAACAATAGTGGACTCATTTCGCTCGAGGTATTGTCACATTTTCCGCACACGGCTTTATACTTTTACTGTATCTTTGGTGGAAAAGCACTTTGATTAAAATCAGTGTCTCTTTACTGTCTACTTTTGGGCAAACATGAAAAAAATCTAAAGCTGTCGGCGTTGTTCAATCCCTGAGGGATGCGTCATGCATTCGACTTCATTAAGCATCGTCGAAGATGATTGAATGCCTATCTGGCCTTTACTCGTGGTAGCCTACCGACGCATAGAGCCAGTACTGCTATCCGCCTAGGCTTGGTGGACCATGGGTGCGAGGATCGATCCCACGTATATTGCAGGGCGTCTCCAACCACTGCGCTACACGTGCCCTAGGACTCAAAAGGACTACGATGAAATCCAAAACTAATGGCTTATTGATTAGAACGAAACAAAAAACTTGGATCTTCATATATCCTGGCGATTAAAACCTTCAACTTCAGTTACACACAATATAATTGGAATTTCCTCTCAATGACAACCGTGCGTTTTTACTCAACCTATAGACGCCAATTTGTAGCAGTTTCGAAATTAACGTTGTATCGAAACACATTGTCAGCGATAAACAACTATTTAGCACAATTGTCGTGGCTGGAGGCTTTTCTTGGGTGTAAGTGAACAACAGTGGTAGATATTCATGTCAGGACAAACCGAGTTTGATTTCTCAATGTGGAAGGTCAGCTATTAGTAAACTCAAACCATGGGAGAGATTAGTAAACAATCCGCAGCTACCTTTCATCAAGCACATAGTAAAAGTAGATATAGATAAAACAGTACTATCCTTACTATGTTTGTTCGGAGTGGGAAGATAGCGCAGTGGCTAGTGATATAGTCTGCAAGGAAGCAAGCTACTCTTTCGGCCTACTCCTCAAGGAGAGGAGTCGATCAACGTTTTGAGCAGATATCCATAATGAAGAAATTCTCAAGCAGCAGCAGAAACAATAACCGAAATGTTCTATGGCCACTGTGGACGATGAAGGCGAGGAAAACGAATCAAATGGAAGAAGTGCTGGGATCCACACAGTAGATGTGGTGATGGATCATGTAAAAAATAGACGAATTTTTTTGTCCAAGATTACCATAGCATTATCTGGGAGGAATTCTAAACGTCCGTAGAAAATTCTAGAAAAAAAAAACGAAAAGACGTCCATATTTATAAATCGAGTTGTGAAATATTGTGTTAGGCATACCACTAAGCGATTCTATGTGCAAAATACTCAGTTTAAACTACGCCAAGAAGAGGTTAGTAACTTTAGATAAATACTGACCTGGTCTCATCTATCCTTGAACGAATTGATAACCCATTTGATGCAAAAAGTACTACTGGATTAGGAAATGGAGCAATTCAAAGCCTACTACTGGATAGAAAGATGGAACAGTCATTTTATGTTTACTTAAGAACATATTCCTTTCAAACACGATATCCTTTTTGTTTCCAGTGATATTAGAAGTTCAAATTTTAAAGTTTTCCAGAAGTTCGAACTTTTAAGTGCGTGACTCAAACTTGGCAACAATGAATGTTAACAACGCATTCAGGGGCGTCATCGTGTTGTGATGGGCGATGTCTCAACTGTTCGGAGCCTTCGCTGCTATTAATGGTACAAGGCTCGAAAAAAGTGAAAAATGGGAAAAGACGTCGTGTAATTTCCTTAAAATATCATCGAAATAAAATACAAAGTTTTCTATTTTGTTGATAAAATCCGTTGAATATAGCTCTTTATCTTATTTAGCAAAAGTCATATTAGACTAAGATGTCATGTTTCCTTAAGGTTGGTCAGTGTTGTGCTAACGAAGCTCTAAACTTAGATATCTGTTAGAAACTACATATCAATATGAATTGGTTACAAATGTGTTTTGGATGGTTAGCAGCGTTGGCTGCGATTGATTTTTTATTTAGTTATCCTTACTGGAACTCATCATCGAGTACAATTCGCTTTGGCTGGTTCAGGTTTTTAGAGGATTTCTCTTCACTTTCTCGTCATTTCTAGGGTATTCCTGGATATTGAATCTACAGAAATGTTTGATTTTCACTAAGGTCTTCCACCTTAACAAGGATTTGGACGTTCCCATTGAGAAGCCGAGTTATTAAGTGTAAGCTAATCGTGGAACTCACTTCCATATAGTTAACAAAATATTAGATTGTTCGGAAAGTATTGAAAGTTTTTCAATTTCTATCTTCCTTGTGCAAATTTTAGCAATAATTTTTTCTAGTAGTGCACTCCTATGTACCAATCTAGACGCCGTCTTAGGTATTTGTCCATCATATAATTTGATTATAATTAATTAATAATAATACTAAATAGCATAATAATAATGCTTATATAATATTAGTGATTGTATAATTGATTATAGGAAGTGGGTAACACAGCGATGGTGATGTCCGTCATCACGAGCATGGTGCTAGTTCGATTCCGCTCCGGGCCAACTAAGCCTCTCATCACTCCGGGGTCGGGAGATTGCTACCGTACTTGTCTAGGACATCACTCTCTGCAGTTCAACTGGGATTGCTCCAACCCAGCCATCAGGACTCCAGGGAGAATTGCTCCACCAGCTTTCTACGAGATACAAGATGAAATGGAAATCCTCAAGCAGCAACCGAATCCACACTTAAAAGTTGGAAGGTCTTCGTGAATAGTGGATGCGAGGAAACGAATCGAGTGTGAGGAAGTGTTGGAATCCGCACAGTAGACATGAAGACGGATCAAATAAAATAAAATAAAATAAAAAATAGATTTAATTATGATACAAAATGTATCTTCGACAAATCTTGCAGCCTAGAGTGAGGATGTTAAAACAGCAATTTCGACAAATTTCACCAATTCAATCTCCGATGGCGGTAGCGCAAAGGGCTCGAAATATTAGTGAGATATGGGTGCAAGGAAGTACATCGAGTACGGATGTGACGTTGGTTTCAAAAATTTCATCGTGGCGAATTCGATATTATAGTGAAGGTTGCGGATGTCCTTCTGTCCTTTACGACACTGAGTTGAAGGCTTTTGTGGAAGTGGATACGTGCACAACTGTTCGAGAACTTGCGGAAAAATTCGGTGCAAGCATGTCAACTATTCTGGAGTTTCGGGGCTTCTAAGGAAGATTTGAAAGTCGTGGAAGGTCACCAAATGAAGCAGTACGAATTGCCAGCACTTCGCTCAACCGGAGATGCAAACGTTGAACGAGCTGGTCTATGAAACTATACCATTTAACATACTACCCAGACCTCTCGACTACCAACTACCACTTGTACAAGGATCTCGAGAACTTTATGTGCGAAGCGTTCTTCAGAATCCAAACCGATGCCTAAACTGCCTGTAACGACTTCATCGCCTCCAGGATTCCAGAGTTTTATGGCAACGGATTGAGCACATTTTTTTCTTAGAGGCAAAATCTGTAGAATTTAATGGTTTTGAATATTAAATTTTTCTCATCTGAGATATACCACTTTAATCATACAGATTGAAGTTTTATATCAATTTTCGCACCAGTCAATAATCGTTAACTGCCATGTAGCGAAGTCCTGGGAAACGCAAGTTTGGTCTCTAATACTGTTGTGACAAACGTTGCACAGCCTTAAGGCCAGGTTGAGGTGAAGTCAAATATTTCTGTCAGGAAATCCATCAAGCTATGCCACTGCAGGTTTCTCTATTATGGACTATAATGCGAGTGGACGGCCAGTAAAGTTTACTACTGTCCGCTAGTGTTACTCTGATTAATGAGACCGTATATGACATAAGCTGAATGTGCAGTTAAGGAGAAATCGGAATTAGTTGATGATTACATATTGGCTGATGGAGTTGAGTGGTGACTGTTCCTTTAGAATACTTTTAATGCTTTAACGTTGATAACGGTTTTTAATACTTTGAACCATTCACGTCTTTGGCAAATACCTTTTCCAAACAGTAATTTTGTTAACCTCCTTGAAAATACTCTGAGGTGAACAATGAGCCATTCCAAGAATCTACAACTTGTTCAATTTGGCACGATTTACTGTTACATCGTCCGGTGAGAAATCCTCAATTCGTGTTCGTGTTTAAACTGCGAGCGATTTATTGTACTCTGCGTTATTGACGCGCTGACTTAACGGGAATATTTAATGAAAGACAGTTCTTCCTGTTAACACGAAAAAAGTGCTTGCAGAATAGATCTTCAGAAAGGTCTTCAGAAAACGTCCAAGTTCATCTATGACTAAATGTTGATATAATCATTCCGTATCAAAACGGATTCCAAAATTACTTGGGGAAGTGGAACGACTCTAAGCATATTCGACATGTTTTCAGATTTATATAATTTATGTGGTCCCATTATATTACTTCGTTCCTTGTATTATAAACTGAATCTTTTGTAATTTTGTACCAGCTTGCCAGTTGGTCTTTGTAACTATGTTTTTTAAATGATTTTTTGAGTGCTTATTTCTTGGGCGGATTAAAAACTGCTGTTTTTAGGCACGGAAAGTAGTGGTTAATGCAGTAATAGCTCGAAAACATACAGATGCTCAGGTGGCTCCTCCTCGCATGTGGAAGCCTAAACAGTCTTGATTTATTCGTTGTACTGCATCCATTGTTCATAGATGTGGTCGAATCTTTGTTCATTTCAGCTACAATCTAAGAGTCGTTTGTGTTCAGTTTCCATTAGGAATTGGAACTGTTATAACTGCAAGCATCATTGCAAATTTACTAATAATTTTGCCATATCAGACAGTGCAAGGTCTCCTCTATACGTCTACCAAGCTCTTAACTTTTCAAGTACTCTGGTTGTCGAGAAACTAGCTTCAGAGTCTAAGTGTTAATGTGCTGAGTGCAGCTCGAACCCATCGGTCTGTCCACCCTGGTATTCTAAAATAGCCATTCTAAAGCATTCGATCTAATCACTGTGTTCAGTCGCGAATCGCTATGAATAAGGGAGAGGTTTACCGCCTTATTACGTGGTGTTTTCCAGAACGGAAAAGATTTCTGCTATTAGTCACACAATTGGTGGACGATGATATAGCTAACCAAATGGAATCATCCGAAAAGGATAGCGGTCTTAGCTGTTCATTGTGGTCGCTCACTTTCTAGGACAATTTAAGACAATTATGACGGCGCAAATTTACATTTGGAGACGTGCATAGGTCCCTTTAGTTGTTCAATTCGTACTTGTACCAGCGAACATTTTCACGCCAAGGAATGAATGTGGCGCGAAATCATTGAGCGATTTATCGGTACTGTGAGCCTTGGCGTTTAATGATTCTCTATCGTTGTATTTAGCCTTTTGAACACTTTTGCGGAATTTTTCAATGTGCGAAAATATTTTCCCGATTCCCATTTTCCCCGTGCACATGAAACCTGTAGTCATTTCTGAAACTCTGTCCGGCTGCGACAAACAAACTTTTCCTATTCGCAAAATCAAGTTTTCCTATGTAATTATTTTGCGATATTTGCATGAATTCGGCTCATACAGTGCCATCTAGTTCTTTAATGAAATTGTTGTTGGATTCTGTAGCAGTGTGGAAGAAGTGGTTGAATTTTGACCAATTGGTTGAAGTTTCAGAATATTTTCAACGTATAGGTTCTTTTCATCGTACCTTAAACCCTTTTTTACAAAGAGTAGCAAAGGTATTTATGCTTTTTTAAAAGTCTATAATTTTGACATCGGAATCCAGCCCTCTTATAATAAGATAAAGTTTGTGCTATATCTGTACCAGACAAAAATTGTTTACCAGTTTATCTAAAGGGGGTTTATTTTCAGATCGTCGTGATACTGGCGCGACATACTTGGACCAGACGGATGGTCAGCAGCTAGATGGGTCTTTTGGACTGTTCAATTGTATACGAACGCCACCAACTGTAGTGGTAAGTCTTAGAGATTCGATATAAGAGGAAGTGTGAAAATTTCGTAGTATTAAATGAAATTAGTTTGCCAAAATCGAAGAGATGGACAAGTTTTGACCATATGGTATTTGCAGATCAACTCGTTGAAGCCTCGTGAATCTGATTTCCTAATAGCATACGCAACACCACCAACCTACGTCTCCTGGCGGAATAGTTTACGTGGTAGCTGGTTCGTACAAGCTATTTGCGAGGTATTCGGCTTATCTTCTAATACACTACAATCTTTCATTACCCAAATTTTCAAGGAAGAAACACATGAGATTTTCAAGTTCAATCATAACTCAAATCTCTATGCAGTTATTGTCTAAGAAGAACACAAATTGTCCGCCAATTTTCTGATAACCTGAGATTGCCATTAAAAGATTGCTGCCAAGTAGTTATTGTTATTAAAAATGTGCAACGTACATTATATCAATAATACTACTTATCAATGAAGACCAAGGTTATGTAACTACGGTAGTTATGGTTGTGGTCAAATGGAACTGTCTGGTTTTTCGTTTTAGGTTTTTGCCAAGCACGCTCGTAACATTGATATTCTGCAGTTGTTGACAAAGGTAAATCAAAGGGTGGCGTATTGCTTCCAGACGAGTTGCTCATCTTCCTACAAACAGGTGACACTTATTGCCCTTTATTGTTTGTTTCTTTCGTTGAACATTGAAACCCTTCTTGTTAAAAGAACAGCTGATTTAAACCGCCAGCAATCATTGAGCATTTGCTTAAATTTTTGCTTGAGCGTAAGACATAAACAATCTTTTGGTACTCTTCATTTAATACTTAATGGCTATTTTTGACGAATTTCCTCAACTCTTTGACTTCCATGCCAGCCTTTTTGGTGCTGTTTTCACAAATTTTAATTTGGTTTGTAAGAGACTGCGGAATATACGAGTCGTATATGACTCGTGCATCTTTGGTTGTTATAATAAGTGAATAATAGATCTTTTTCCCCAGTGTTTCTATTGCTGCGCAAACATTCTCTGCTATGCTGTCATTGTTAAGTTGATAGCTTCATAAATGCGCACGTTGTACCATATATGGTCCGAGAAAAGCTATTTTGTACACGTTGGAAGTTGCATACATTTTTCACACTTTTCACATACAGTTTACAGTTTTTGCAATCCACTGTCGCTAAAGTCTACACAGTTCAAATATAGCTGGCAGCATTTACATCCATTGTTCTTGCAATTTGCATCCTTTCTCGTTATTTGCATGTACGAGACGAAGAGACCTATGAAGAATCCACATGACGCGAAATTATTGGCCCACTTCTAACTTTAAGATATCTCAGTTCATAACCAGTTTGATTTTGGTTTAAAAACAGTTAAGATCCACAAATTTTTGCCTATGGGGCTAAAGTTTTTTTCCACCACAATAAAATTCTGATTTTCTGGAGCCTATAGCACATATCACCTCCACTTGATTGCACTGTAAGGCCCACATTTTCAATGGAAAAACAGATGAAGCCGGACTCTTTCTCGCCGGACAAGACGATGATCCACAAGTGTCGTTCATTTTTGCAGCTGCTGGTGCTGCGTTAGGAATATCCAAAGCTCAAGTTTCGTTTCTAGTTTTTTGAGGGCTTCAATTAAAAGTATATACAGGTTCCAAAGACACCGTATAAACTTTATTGACACACTTGACACCTGAACGGCCCGTCCACTGGTTGTGCGGGTCCCAGCATAATTACCATCTATTGGAAATTTGCTGTTTAAGCTATTGTGGTTCCCGGGAATCCCGAGGTCAGCCTGGCCAAAGTCTGCCCCAGGTCTTCACAACCACGGGCAGTCGCAGCCCTTGTGGATCAGAGGAAGATTTGCCATCATGCGACTTTGATACCAGGACGGTGGCGGATCCTGGTATTGGTTTACTCCTAGCTAGGCTCCATGATGGAAACGCCGGACTCCTTTTCAGCTTGGGAGACCCTGCCGAGGAGACGAATCCCTGCGCTGTACATCGCAGTCCGACACCCAGGAACACCTCCCAGCCACGAGAGGCGGTAAACCGTTGGGAGGATAAACTTTATTTATGTAAATAATGCGATAGAGCAAAGTTTTTTTTCGAAATCTATAGGCTAACTTCTAAAATACACTTGTCGTCAAGAAGTTAGTGTAAGTTGTCGAGAAAGCAGCTTCTTCGAGAATGTGTTAATAAAACACTGAACAGAAAGGTTTTCTACACTGTTCGTGCCTAGCTGTAACGTGCTTGCTACAGGCGGGAACAGATCTGTTACCGTAGTGCTTAGCTATTGCCCTCCAAACGCTAATATAACCTATTCCTTTCGGTGGCACTGAAGAATTGTCCTCCAGAGCAGAACTTTTGTATTATGTAAGCGTTGCCCTCTATTTATTTGAGTTAAAGTCGAGCGTACTTAAGCTTTGAACTCATGTATCTCGGTTTTCTGCATTTTCTGAATGCGAACTTGTATTTTCGACATTTTGGGTTATGACGAGTTACCACTGGTAGGCAGCGCGTCGCTCTGGACAGTATGATAATGTTTCCTTTCCTTTTGCACTTGGTTACTACAACATCGCTTTGTTTAATCTCTGTTTGTCTTCTGCTTGAGTCCTTGTAGATGATCCGTTTAGGAAATGCTTCCCTGTTTTGTTTGCAAGTGCAAGTTAGACGGCTTCTCCCCAGTTTATCGCTATATAGATATCATCTTTCATATTCAATAAAGTCTTCGTGAGCGTTATTACATCAACACGGTTGACAAATTCAAGAGATGAACTGATCTATTAGAATTTGCTTTGTATATCATTGAACCAATTGTCGGTGGAATGGAGATCGGCTGCTGGTTTTTCAAAAATTTTATCCTAACTTTGGGCCCAGTAGAATTATACCGAAAAGTAAGACAGGGACTTCAATTATTTCGCAATGGGGATCTTACAAACTATCTGAAGGTTACTGTTAGTTACTACTCCATTCGTTTCTCTTTCACGCAATCGTCGTCCATGGTGGTGGTTTGATTCGAGCATGTTGACGAGTGCTACTCTCATACCGTGATCTGTAAAACATCTACAGCTGCGAGTAAAGCTGATTAGCTTTGTTTGCAAGCTCACCCGCACAACGTGTATGTGGCCGTCTTAGCGCCACTTGCATCCCCGTAGAGTTCACTCTACAGTTCTTTTTATCCACCTACCGTCTGTTCTTATTATATGAGCGGCCGTCTGTTTCGCTATTGATGTGTGTTCTGCTGTGTCACGAAGGCAAAATAGATTATGGAGATCAGAACTTCGCATTCCGGCCAAATATTGCGTGTACCGGTTATATTTCAGAAACCATCATTCAAGCACTCTGTGAGTGCGCAGTATTCTTGACTTGAAGTATCAGCCTTCGTTTCTTTTGCATAACAGAGCGCTGGGAGGACCTTTGAGTCTAAAAGGTGTTCGCGGAGTTACAGGTCCATTATTTGCTTGGTGGAGTCTTTCGGTGGTCCGGATGTCTCCCATACTACTCTCCTCCTTCTGTCTAATAACTGCTTCACGTTGTTCTCCGTGTTTATTGAAAGCTGAAGGTATGCTACAAGATGGCCTCTGTAATCATAAAACCATTCACCTTGATCTGTTCGCCTTCGCACAGTGGGTTTTTCATGAATTCCGTTTTTTTCCATTTATGCATGGTTTGGTCTTTCTTCCCATTTCGTTTAGCTCATTGATCATCACCTCTGCTTCGTTGATACTTCTTGAGAAGAGGGCGACATCGTCATCGAAACGGAAATTTCATAGGAATTTTGTTACGAAAAAATAAATCTTTTAAAGCGAATACGTAGAAGAAGCGAATTATTACTTATTATCGTTGTCATTATTATTATTACACGACCCAACATCACATGTATCATACTGTGTGAATCCCACCACTGCTTTCCATTCGTTTTCCTCGTCTCCGTCATCCATAAAGGTCTCTGAACATTTACTGAGCGTGGAGTCGGCTGCTTCTTGAGAATTTTCGTCTTTATAAATTTCGTTGAATGCTGATCGAATCGATTCTCCTTGAAATCCTGTGGTAGTTATGTTAAACCGTTCTCCCGTGGAATACAGAGATAAGTCTGTCCCAAACAAGCCTGATACCCGTTCCCTGACTCCAGAGCGATAGAAGACTTGGTTTTCGCGGTGCTGAGTGGAACCAACGCCTGGATAGATTGTGAAGTTCTATGTAATGAACGGCATGACTTATTTTTCCTCGAGAGAGATCGAATCGACGTGAATCATACATGTTGCCAACATGTTAGACCTGTGGAGCAAATTTATCAAATAGTGTTCTATTTTTTGGTACACGTAAGAACGCCTACTTTTTCACCTTAGCGTTGTGATTTCGAGTCAACTTCCAGCCGCCATAACCCACTGAAAAATGACCCCGTCTCTTTCATTGTATTTTTCGCTGTATAATTCGATTCGCCTTTACGTTCTGTCAATTGTGTCTGAACTTTCTCAAGGATACTTATTGCAAAATTCGAGCTTCTTAACGGAAAAATACAAACAAAGGGTCACAATTTTTGCATCAACGTAGTATCTGCTCCTTAGGTTAGAAACGAAATCGTCTCCATGAACGCCTGACCCTCTGTCTATTGCCTGGGAACCTGTTGCGTGCCCAACAAACTGGAGATTCCTCGCTGAAAGCGTGATATTCGTCTGTTGTATAAAAACGTACGAATTTGCTGTTTTGTTACAGATGCCAGAGTTTCACTCTCGTCTTGTGAAGCAGTTCTATTTTTTCCCGGGAATCAGCCACTCAACATCTGTCTAAATAAGTGCGAATCTTTATTTTAATCTCATCTTTGAGTCTGGATATTTTCTTTTTCGAAATTGCCATTTCAAAAATTCTGTTTGGTTTACGTTTGCAGTTCTCGCACATTCTTTGTAAATACACACTTTTTTTGTGTTTTCGAACATTTAATGTTCTCAGTTCCTGAAAATTAAGCGTGGGATGTTGCTAAGGATTTTTTTTTGTTAGTTTTTGCACAGCAGTAATTTTCCTTTCAGTGTGGTCTAATTCTTTTTCATTCGTTTCTCTGCACATATTTACTTGAGGTATTGAATTCTGAGAAAACGGCTCAATGTTAATTTGGGCTTTCTGCTTAAGTTGCCGTATTCTCCAACCAATTCATCTATGTGTCTTTCGATCTCTGGCTTGTCTTATTCTTTCCGGCAAAAGTGTAAGAGACGGATAGTGATGTGGACGAGTTCACATGCGAACTTTGTAGCGGTGGTTGTTTCCAAATTTGTCACTATCTTTTATATAAAATGTTTACGTGTGCTCTTCGTTAATACAATATTGTTTGTGTTCAGTATTCTTTCAGCGTTTGTTCATCATT